TCTGTGCCGTGCAGGAAACGAGGTGGTCCTGCTGCAAGTCGAGGGACATTGGCCGCGGCTTCAAAGCCGTTCTCTGTGGCGGTCCCAAAACCACCAATGGCGTCGGGATGATTGTCTCTGAACGCTTCCGTGATTCGATAGTGAGCGTGGAGCGCTTCGACGACCGATTAATGAAAATCATTGTCGTCATCGAATCAACGAAAATACCACTTCTTCTCTGCGTACGCTCCGCAGACCGGATGCTCCGAGCAAGCCAAAGACAAGTTCTGGAATCTGCTTGATGAGAAGACAGCTGAGGTTCCGTCACAAGAAGCTATAATTGTCGCAGGTGACCTCAATGGGCACGTTGGCGCTACGAAAGACGGTTACAGCTGTCACGGTGGTTTTGGATATGGGTCACGTAACACTGATGGCGAGCGAATTCTCGAGTATGCAGACTCGCACAACCTCGCCATTGTGAACACGAAATTCCGAAAACGCGACTCACATCTCATCACCTTCTATAGCGGTAACACCAGAACACAAATTGATTTCGTACTTGTCAGGCGCCGCGACCAGGGCTCGTAACAGACGCGAAAACAGTGCCTTATGAAACGGTCGCCACGCAACACCGACCACTAATTTGTACGCTAAAGATCGCCCCGCCGAAACCGAAACTAACCGAAAGGTGTGGGCCAGCGAGAATTAAGTGGTGGCGACTGAAGGAAAAAGAAGCGGCCGTCGTTTCCCGCATTCGATTACCAGCGGTAACGACTGTCGACGAAACCTGGAAAGGTGCTGCCGAAGAAATAACTCAGATAGCTCGATCCGAGCTCGGGATGACGAAGCCTGGACGGCGGAGAATTGACAAGCAAACGTGGCTGTGGACGGACCAGGTCAGAGAGAAAGTGCGCGAAAAGAAGAAGCGGTACCACGCATTCCTCCACGAAAAGACATCTGAGAACTGGCTGAGCTATCAGACAGCGAAGAAAGAGGCAAAGAAGGCCGTTGCTTCTGTGAAAGCAGCTCATTATGCTGATATTATTACGAAACTCGAGTCGCGCGATGGAGAGCGGTACGTTTACCGACTTGCAAAGACCCGCCATCGCCAGACCGAGGATATAGAAAAATTCTTCGGCATAAATGACGAGAATGGCCACCTCTTGACGGACCGCAAGAAAACACTGAAACGATGGCGTGACTACTTCGAAAACATCTCAACAGTCGAATTTACTCATCCCGCCATCCCCTGCGCTCCGCCAGTACACGGTCCCGTTCAGAAGATAACCTATGGAGGAGACCATCACGGCCATGAAGAAGATGAAATCAGGCAAAGCAACTGGTCCTGACGACTTAGCGGCGGACTTGTGGAAATCAAAATGCTGGAATCCTGCAGAATGGTTGACGGAGTTCTTCAACCAGATCGTTGCAGAGAAGAAGGTGCCTGAAAGCTGGCAACAAAGCACGACGATTCCTATCTGGAAGAAGAAGGGCAGTCCAGGAGACTGCACTAGCTATCGTCCAATTCGCCTGCTTTCGCACAGCATGAAAATCTTTGAGCGAGTTGTAGATAGCCGTATCCGGGACATCGTCGAGCTGACCACCAACCAGTGTGGTTTTGTGGCTAGTTGCAGCACTATCGATGCCATACACGCCGCTCGCCTTCTGCTAGAAAAGCATCGCGAGAAACAAAGACCGGTGCACCTTGCCTTCCTAGATTTGGAGAAGGCATTCGACCGCGTTCCGCGGGACGTTATATGGTATGCCTTACGACAGCATGGCGTGCCTGAAGAGCTCGTCGAGTGGGTGCGCATCCTTTACTCGAGTCCAAAGAGCCGAGTGCAAACGGCAGCAGGAACATCGATGGATTTTCCCATCTCTGTCGGGGTACATCAAGGCTCTGCGTTATCCCCACTCCTATTTGTTGTCGTCATGGATGCCATTACGAGAGATCTCCAGAAGCCGGCTCCATGGACACTTCTTTATGCTGATGACGTGATGCTCGCTAGCGAAGATAAAAGCACGCTCGAGCAACAGGTACAAGCCTGGTCCGACCGTCTGGCTATGTTCGGGCTCAAGCTGAAACGTAAAAAGACTGAGTACTTGACCACCGATTCGAGTGAGTTAGGCTCTATTAAGATCAATGGTACTGAACTCACTCGTGCAACATCATTCAAGTATCTTGGATCAGCAATCGCGTCTGACGGCAGCCTGGTCTTCGAAACGAATTCTCGCGTGAATGCAGCCTGGTCGAAATGGCGCTCGATGACTGGCGTTCTCTGCGATAAAAACATGCCAGAACGTCTCAAATCTAAGATCTATAGGACCGTCATCCGGCCGGTCGCGATTTACGGTGCTGAGTGCTGGCCTACGACTAAAGAGATCGAAGCACGGCTCAGTGTGATGGAGACCAAGATGCTGCGATGGACAGCCGGAGTCACACGAGTAGACCACATCCGAAACGATGTCATCAGAGAGCGATTCGGGGTGGCTCCAATTGTCGACAAGATGCGCGAAGCCCGTCTTCGATGGTATGGTCATGTCCTTCGCGCGAAAGATGACAGTGTCTGTAAGATCGGTCTCAACCTTGACGTGCCCGGAAAGCGGCCTAGGGGGCGCCCGAAGCAGCGATGGCTCGATACGTTGCACGTAGACTTGAAGTCGGTTAATATCCACCCCGATCAAGCATTTAATCGGGAAAAGTGGCGTCAACACATAAGAAAAGCGGACCCCGCCTACAAGCGGGACAGACGCTAAAGAATAAGAAGAAGAAGAAGAAGATGGGACCAGTAGTATTTCCGGCACAATGCACGGTATTGAACGAAGAGACAATCATAAAAAAACACGTTCATTACAATTTGTTGGAAATTCATCAGGAAAAGTATACCAGTGTTGGTTGAAGAGTGGAAACGCGAGTTATTTTCAGAAAATTTGATATAACACGAGCTTATGGATAAAGAAAGAAATTGTAAGAAGAATTGAAGGCACACTGAGTGAATAGTTTTTGTGTGGTTATTCAACTTGTAATGAATACAAAAGTACGAAAAGGAACATCAACTGGACGGAAGCGATCACGCTAACTGAAAGGTGAAGAAAAGTTCCGCATATCAATGAGGGAAAGGAGTCGAGATGAGAGCAGAGATGGAGAATGATGGACGAGCCTAACCCTATGGAAAATACGATATGAAAAGATAAGAACATATCTGCTTGGTATCGATAAGATGCACACGGTATGAAAATTCGGATATATCGTGAGATCGCCCATTCAGAAAAAAAAACTGAAAAAAAAATTGAGAGCATCATTTTTGTGAAGCTCGACCATTAGATACCCGTTAGTACAGGCGGAGCATATTGTGCAGAGGAGAAAGAATGAGAAGTAGGCCCAAGGAAGCAGCCGACATGGCACTGATGCCCTTTTCGTCCACTCTGAAGTTCCAAGAATGGCACTTCCTGCCCGAAGGTCCTGCTACTGTCATTTACAGGAGAGATTAATTCAACTGACTGATTGCAATGTTTGTGCTTACCATCAGGAAACAAGCCTCAGCGTTTGTACACTTTTGAAAGAGTTTAATACCCCCGAACCAAATTTGTTAGGATGTAAAGCTCAGCTGACCTATAACGGATTCGATCTGATATTCACCTTCCGGAGCATGAGTGCGATAGTGGCGCTGCTTCACAGCACAACTTCGCCTTTGACTCGCATGGCTGGTTGGATATCGGGCACTGTGAGGGTGAATCGTTAGTCTGATTTAGATGTGTGATTTCCGTTTCCTCACGACGCCTGGTGCTAAGGCGGTGTAAATTTCTCAGCCTCTAAAGTCCTTCAACTGCTTTTCGGAAAGTTTGGGCGTTGTCGCTTTGAGAAGGCAAGAAAGGCGGGCCAAGACTCAACAATCTTAAGGAATTAGCAGAAATATGAACGCGGCCGATAAGAGTGACCCGCGCGGAAGAGCTATCATTGCGAGCTGACTCGTGGTGTAGTGTGGTAGTTCCTGGGAGAACTGTTTGCACGGTTACTGGAAGTTTCTCGATGCGCACCCAACAGTCTATCGTATTTCGCACAAAGAGTCGACTTAGCCCTAGATCCGAGCCGAAGCTGGCATGACCCATAAAGGTACAGACTCCTACATTTCCTTCGCGGAATCCTTACGACTAGTCGGGCTAATCCCGGGGTTTGCCTTCGATTACAAGATTCATTCTTCCATTCAGGCCTTACTTAAAGGACGAATTCACGATTAGAATGAAGGTCGAAGAAGGAGTAATTCACCTAGTTGAGGGACCCGCGGACCTCCTGAGGGTGCGGACTGACGCGCAATTGGCACCGAAAAATTTGACCTCGGCGACCTATCATGCCTCATCGGGTTCAACTCGATCACTCGCCGCAGGTCTACGTGGCGAGTGATTAGATAGGTGAGAGAGCGTAGTGTTGAAGAGGGCACAGCGATGAGAGTCGCATCAATGCTCAAATCAACGGGCAAGGAAGGGGTCCCATTTCTCGGGTTCTGGGCCGTTTCTCATGGTTTTTCCTTCTTTCGTGTACCAACCATCCTAGGTTAATTTGAAATGGGTTGCTTTTTCCAGCGTGAATTCGTCCTTTAAGGGATTCGCTGAGTTGGCTTGAAAATAAAGTTGAGATCCTGATTAATAGAGGTCAGGCGTTAGTAGAGTTCGGCTGCTGAAGAGGGTTGCTGAGAGGAACTCTCAACACGTACAACGCTCACTGTTTTAGGTTCAGACAGACTATCCACGACACGTTACTCCTCAGGGCACTAATTGCTTCATAGAAACGCTGCCTTTGCGGAGAGACCGTCGGATAAAACACGTATTTCTGATGAGAAAATCACAGAAGAATGCCGGAATCCATATTCAAATGGAGGAAGCGTTTGTCGCCTCACATCTCACACAGACCTTCCCGGAGCAACAATGCGTGGTCAAACAGCTTCACTTAGAACCCTTTCTAATGCTCCTTTCGGTTTTACGCTGCTATAAGAACTAAGTCAATTAAACCGTGGAAAACCCACTTCTGTTTTTATTTGCTTGTCGTTGATGGCATAAATCGGCAGACGCAGCGCGCACGCCAGCAACGGCAGGAACGACGAAATGTCTGTCGTGACCGTATAGAACCCTTCGTTGGCAAACAGCGATTCAATATCGATTGTCTAAAAATTTTCGATAAATTCAAAGATGTTGGCAAGATGAGAGCATGACGTGCCTCCCAAAATGCGATGACGACATCGATGATGTTGGCGGCTAGATAGCAACAGACGACCATGACGAGCATTCTTGTAACAGCCCGAAGTCGTGATCTCAGTCGCGTCACTTCCGCTCTGAAATTGTCCAGTAGTAGAATTAGTGCTTCAGAATTGCTCTGAAAAAGGCATACCTGTTGCCGACGGTGATGTAGAGGACCAGGGCCTTCACAGTGTGGTCCTTGTCGCTCCGACGGACATTCAGCACGATTGCCGCGTTGAACCAGGCCAGAGCTAAAAATTTGAATCGCTTGAAATCATCTTTCGCCTTGAGAGTGGGTATACAGAGGGGGTGGGGGACGGGGAAGATATTTTGCCCCCCCCCCTTTTTTTCGTCCGAAGTTCTCTAGCAACACATTTCTCAGATATCCCCTTATAAGTGAACGCAAACCCTCCATCAGTTCATCACTAGCATATGACACCATCGTTGTCGAGCTCAGGAACCGACCCCAGCCTTAATTTCCTCAGCCTCTTATCTAATTTGTTAAATAGATTCACTGTTGTGCGTCTTCTAGAGAAATAAGCTCTGACCATGCATATCCCATTCCAACCAGCGTTTCAGAAAAAGTCGGTGACTGCACACAACCCGTTGAGACCCCTTGAGTTCGACCCCATCACAATTTTCGCAGAATTTTCTGACGTCTCCACATAGGTCACAATAGTGCTTCTCTATTAAATTTATAATTTCTGAAGCAAAAATTAAAGTTCAGATTTTTGTGCTGTCCAAGTAGGCGTCGAGAGCGTTCCCCGTGGAATTCAGCGTGGTGTTATTATTATTATATTCACTTGAATGTGTGGACAAAACGCCTTTTTTGTTGCCCTCCTGTACAGGGTGGAGAAAAATTACTGGTGCACCAATATTTGTTGGTATATCGAGTCTCATGTTCACAAATCAATTCTAATTAAGATAGTTATTCCTGCGTAACAATACAATTCAAAACACATCAGCGGTTTTTTAAAAGATCGCTTCTAGCTTGATACAGCTCCTCATATCTTGGCAAACGCATTGCATGCGGCACGCCAATTACTTTACATCTTCGAAAGCCCCTTTGGCAGGTTTAAATTTGCTATTCGATATAGTAGTTTTCCTCCAAGCGAAACGCTATACCCGGAAATGTATCGGTTCTAATGGGAACAGCCATGAAAGTGGAGCAGCTTTCATTTTAGTGATGAAGTTAACGTATTTGCGCACTGTTCTTGAACATTCTCGGTCATGGCTCTGACAGCAAAGCCTTCCTGCAGGCTTCACCCATGACCCCTCCAAGTGAATTCATACTTATGGTCGCTGAAGCGACATATGCAAATTGAACGCTGCTTGAACCGCGCTTGAAAATTTAAGAAATCGACAAGAGCGTTTTTCCATTACGGTCGGAGGGAGTTTGATAACTCACTTCCCGAAGCGGAATGCGGACCCACTTTCAACGAGGATTCATGTGTTAGAAGTGCATATCATCAGCGAGTGAAACGGGGAATTCTACAATAAAAATTCCAATAAAAATTCTACAAAAACCCATGATATATAGGTGCACCCGTAATTTTTCCTCCTCCCCCTTTCCCTGTACATATATGAACTTTAACTATTTACAGACTGCACAGGATCTAAAAATTCTAACCGATGAAGGGAAGAAACACAGTGACGATCTTGCGAATCCAGAACTTCCACATGACATCGTAGACCGGATTTGAGAAAAGACGAGATGATGCTAGACCCAAACTCGAGAATCCAGTACATCGCGGATTATAGACAACCTGAAAATTATTTCGGATTTGGTCATTGGGATCATATTAAATTACCAGTAACACTTGGCAACAAATGATTGAATCTATTTCGATCAATAAATTACAGATGCCTTCAGCTTCGAAATTATAAAATTGGCGTGGCAGACCCCCGGTAAGCTTCCCAACATTTGCTCCTTCAATATTGCTAATCCTTCGGCTGCAAAGGATCAACGGTGCGTTTGCCCTGTAGTGGCCTTCTTCGGAGCCTTGATCAACATGATCTACCCGCAAAAGCTCCCTTCAACAAATTGTCCCGGGGCTCCTCTGTTTGAGCTCCATCCTACCAGCTCGACCTGACAGGTGGACCATCCAGGTTGACATTTCTGAATTTGTTATGGTTCTATGGTATTGCTTGAAGGCGCAACCCAGGCAGAAGTCGTCTCTTCGGTCTGTAGTATAGACCCCTGAAGGACGATCACAAAAGTAGCGTTCTCGTGCACGGAAACCAACCTAACAAGAGCGCTTGGAGCCTTGCAAAGTGAGCTGCCCAAGCTGCAGGCTTTTTTTTTCTCTTATCAGGCTGTTGTCTGGCGATCTCTCATCTGTAGCGCTCTCTCGCCCCATACTCTCCTCTCCGCGCTTAGTCTCTCATTCCCTTAGCACAGCCGATTAGGAAGGTGAGTGAGCCCTTAACCTAAGCGTTTTTGACGGATTCTTTTCCTTTTTTCTTTACTGCCGGCCCACTTTCCCACCAATACATTCGCATTCGTGTACAAGAGCCACACCAATGCGATCCTGGGGCATGCCTTTAAAGCAATTGATCCTCGTTGCGAGACTGCATATGTAGAGTAGATGAAATAGTGCTTAGCGGGATATATGTCGTGTATCCTTCCAGCTCCGAAGAGGCGCCCAACTGCCAATAAGCCACGGGCTTCGTGAGGCCATGAAGTAGGGAAATTCCAGAATCTACGTTCGCTGCCTTCTTCATTTTGAAGGAGAATGGGGCGCGAAAAACTCCGCCGCGTAGACTGTCATTGACACCTCTCGGTTACAAGCTCAATTATTCTATGCTGTGCGATATGCACACCTTACCCTGGTCCTAAGCAAAATTTGATTCTACTACAGACTACGCAAATCTCACCGCAACTTCGAAGAACACAGTCCCTCTGAAGATGCAGCCGGTGACAACCACACAGCAACACAAACTGTAGCTGCGAATGGCGTCACAATAAGCCTGCCACCAAAGTTCGCAGCTCTGATTTTGCCAAGAACAACAATTGATGGATGTAAGGCGACAGAATTCGTACCTGTGGTCGGATGTGCTCAGTAGATACCGCTCAATAGTGGCCGCCATGAGCAAAAATGAGCTGCTGCTCAAAGTGATATGGGACACGGTGAAAGCTGCTCGAAGATAGCGATGCCAGAGATAGAACAAGGTGAAGGAACTCAAAATAGTCTGTGTACACCTGAAAGAGATTTTCATAGTTTCAACTAGTTTTTGGAATATCCTTTCAGTCCTTTGAAGGTGGATGTGGGTAAAGGAAAAAAAATCGGAAATTTTGTACTCACTTGAACACACATAATTGCTATATAACTCATTGAAATAAATATATCACAGCCAGAGATCCACATCAAATAGGTAAGGTTCCTTTGTCGAAGCACCTGAAGATATGCACCTGAGTAAGTAATTTCAAAGGAGTTTATATCAGAACTCAGATTTATCCTATGACGGAATGGATGCAATTACGCGGTGTCTATCGATTCTTTTTGAATTGCGCCACACACTCGATTTCCTTTCAAACTGTTGAGGCATTTAATTGTAATTTATTTACATGCTTACTCAGTACAAGACCCAAGTACGTATCAACCTCGTTCGCTTCACTCAAATCAACATTTCCTCGGACGCTGCTAAACCGTTGAGGTACCCCTTGAATTACTGCATTTTTCGTTGAGGAGTTGATTTTTTTGTTCAAAAAACATCGAAAAACTAGGTAGTGTTATCGCAGAGGCGTTCCATAAATTAAGTACATAAATTTGTTATAGTGTTAACGCTACTCTCAGGAACCGCCAGGTTCTGACTGGGTCAGACCTCCAAAGACATCTTCGTGAATAGACTATTTGCGAAATGGCATCCCTTCGCAGCGGCACGAAAGACTTCCGAACGTGGTGATCCCGTCGGCATACGTTAGTGAAATACTGTAAAGGATGCGAGAGGAGACCAATTTCCAAACTCTACAGAGCAGCCCAAGGTTTCTTAAAGTTTGGTGGTCGGTGAAAATGTAGTTCGAGGGGGCCACTCATAATATCTAATTCGATGTGACAATATCTAATCAAAGTGGAGTTGCGGAAGAGCACTCATATCTAATCAACATTCAGAGCAGAGGCTCTGACCAGAGTATTCGAGTTCCCATGGAATTTTGAATTGAGACCCAGATATACCGATAGAGCTTCAAACGCCTACATATTTATTTATTTATTTATGCGTTCAATGACGCGCCATGTTGAAGCATTTGGCTGTATGCGAAATCATCATGCAGACTCAAAAAAAGAAACAAAAACACAAAGCACAGAAGGTCGTTCAGGCGAGCAGCTTCCTCCAGAACATGAGCAAAAGAGTTAGGAATGATACTGTGACGACTGAAACTCGACCCTAGCGGTAAAGTCACAAGAGGCTATGAGCGCTCTGACCAGAGATGTATGGGATAAACGCTGCAGTGTAAGCCAGCACCAGTCGGCCATGGTGCCCTTAGCGCCACTTGCGGGGTCATGGGAGCTTACCGGCACTTCGAAACACGGGTATGCCGACCACCCACGTGGAACCGATAAACTTGGCAAAACCCGCCGCGCCGTATCCCTATCACTCAGACCAGAGACCTCATCACCATACCATGCTTAGAGAGTTGTAACGTAATTTGTCATTCTGAAGTGAAATCAAATAAGTATCATTCACGCGAAGATAGGACTAGTGAGGAGGCCACCCTGCTTGAGCAACCGAAAAGAGTGAACAATATAGGAACAAACCGATTACAAAAACTACGATACGTCTTCTACGCCAAGAGTTCCCAGCAAATCTAGTTTGTTTAAAGCTGCCTTAAACTGAGAGAGTTCTGGCACAATAAAACAGGAGAAGGTAGACGTGAAAGCCAACGAGTCGTGCGTAAAATGAAACAGTTGTGACGAAGTTGCTTTGCTTGCG